AACTTTGCTGTGACTGGCAGCTGCAGCCTGGGCTCGGCTGGGGGCTGCCTGCCCCTGCTGGGCAGAGGCTGCAGTTCAGCCGCGTGGGGGCAAGCCCTACTGGTTGCCGGGCAACGAGAGTAATTCAGGCCAGGGGGAGGGGCAGGTCAGTGAGTTAGGGCAGGTGGCAGAGGAAGCTGTATTGAATTCAGCACATAGGGAAGAGGCAGGTGGCCCCTTCCTTGTGCAGCTCTACCCCGCTCCCCCGCCCCATTCCACCGTGGAAAAGGTGCCTCGGATTAGGGGGCTGGGCCCAACAAATACCAGCAAAGTGAAAACAGGCAAAAACTTGCACAAGTGAAAAAGACACGAGTCACACTCCAAAAAACCATGAGACTGGCCCAAATGTTAGTTCAGTTACACTGTCCTTTTGAAACAAAATGCAGGACTTGTCCTTTTCATATGCAGGATTTGTCCTTTTCATATGTGTTCTTTTTTTTTATTGTATCCTTTGGTATATATGGCTGTGACTATTTTCTTCCACTATTTGATCTGAGAAAGTGGGTCTGGCCCACGAAAGCTCATCATCTAATAAACCATCTTGTTAGTCTTTAAAGTGTTACATAGTCCTGTATTTTGTTTCAGCTACACCAGACTAACACGGCTACATTTCTATCACTGTCATTTTGGTCTGTCTTTTGATTTTTTTAACCCCATGTCTACACTGGTGTGTGTGCTTGAGCACACAAGTCTATTCCAGGGGAGTGCCTGAGTCAGTTGCACTATTAACAACGCTCCCTAATTTAGGGGGTGGATGTGTGATGCTGGCAAATCAGGGGCCAGCTCTTGCCAACACTTCAGTCCCATGCTGACCAATTCATTGCTGGAAAACAGTCTGTTTGACTTGTGTGTTAGTCTGACTAAAGTGAATGCCTAAAATTGTGTTTAGGTTTTGAAATGCTTGTAAATTTCTGGGTGCGTTCATCTCACTTGTATCTTTATCACTTGCTATAAAGCAGTGGTTGCCAACCTTTTAAAGCAGGAGATCACTTTCTTAATTTAAGTGCAACCCAAGATCTACCTCAAACCCAAATACCCTTGCCCTGCCTCCTTTGTACCCCTTCTCACTCCATCCATCCTCCCTCCCTCTCTCACCCTCCTTCACTTTCAGCAGGCTGGGGCAGGCAGTTGGGGTGCTGAAGGGGGTTCTAGGTGCAGGCTCTGGGAGGATGTTTGGATGCAGGGGTGTCACATTATTGGATTTTAAAGTGAGCAGACAGATCACTGTTGCACCCACGAGTGGTGTTTTCCCCAAATTCTGTACAAAGTTGGCCACTAGAGGTGTCAAATGGAAGCTTATGCTCTACTGATTCTATGTATGACACTCATGTACTTGAATGATTTTTGTATGTGAAGTTATGAATATGGGCTCTGTTCTTGTATTTCAAATGTTCTCTGTCTGGGAGGGAGCAATGGGCCTGGAGTGCCTGTTGTGAAAAAGGATTGTTCAGTGAATGGCTGTGCTAACCAGCATTGCTTCATAGACAAGATGGAGATGGCCTCATGGGATTTTTATATCCCTGGTGTCTCCCAAACTGGAGTTGGTCACATGATCAAATGACCTGTCTGTGTTTCACATGCAAGAAGCCATAAGTCACTGGCTGGCATTGTTGTTTTTGTCTGTAACAGACTAATTCGGCTATCCCGAAGCATTTTATTTTCAGCTTGCTACCGAATGTACAGGGGTAAAGGAGAATGAGGCTTAGTTCTCCAAATGCAGACCTGACACAATACCTGCAGAGTTCCAAGCACTTTCTCAGATGCACTTTTATCACTTGAAATATCCAGCTAAAGATGCCAGAAACTGCACCTTGCTGCTACCTCAACAATCCTCCTTTATCGCTGTTTAGAAAGCCCCAGGGCTGCAGCTTAGCTCTAATGATGGCCGGGGGAGGTGGGAGGAGCCTTCATTGTAAGTGGGTTGGCAGAAATAGGTGTCAGTGTTTCCATAGCTGAATTCCAGCCCGATACGTTGGGGTACAACATGCCTGGAAACTCAGCTGGTGACCATTCCAACGGGGTGAGCTTCACCATGGAAGACCCCGCTACACACGTGCCAGCACAGTCACAGGTGCAAGGCCGGGCCCGCAAGCGGCACAGAGCCGGGAAGAGGCGCAGGGCCATTGCCCGGGGGCGGCAGGGCTCTAACACTATTCCCCGGCCCTCCAGGGGCGCTGCCCAGCCCGGGGAGCGTACTCAGCTGGTGACCATTCCAACGGGGTGAGCTTCACCATGGAAGACCCCGCTACACACGTGCCAGCACAGTCACAGGTGCAAGGCCGGGCCCGCAAGCGGCACAGAGCCGGGAAGAGGCGCAGGGCCATTGCCCGGGGGCGGCAGGGCTCTAACACTATTCCCCGGCCCTCCAGGGGCGCTGCCCAGCCCGGGGAGCGTCGCGGGCAGAGTCACGTTCCGCCCCGCCGCTCGGGGCAGAGGCCGGGCCCCGCGACCCCACACC